CTCATGGCAAGTGGTTGGAAGGTGAGTCCCAGCAGGATCACGGGTTCTGCCGACCACTTTGGTCAGACCAGGGCCTCTAAGTGGACATGAGAGGCCCGAGCCCTGCTCCGGGGATAAGTGGTGTTTGTGTGGGCTGTGCCAGGTTCCCTCTAGCTGCCCCCAAGTCCTGCCTCTCTTTGTTCACGACAGCACTGACCTCAGGAGCCCCAGACACGGGGCTTGGCTCAGGCTCTGAGAGGCTCTGGCTTCTGTTTCCTGTCCCCGTGCTGCAGCTGCACCTCACGCGCTCTGCAAACCTGGAGCCAGCCAGGCCTGGGACTCTAGGCAGTGCTGGGGAAAACAGCTTGTTTGCTAGCTGGGTACAGATGGAATTCTTCCTGCTGTGCTGGTGTTGCCTGGCACCTGTCTGTCTTTGTTCTAGTCTGAAACGGTGCACAGAGGGTGGTGTTCTTACAGCCGCACTCAGCAGGCAAGGTTAGGGCTACAGCGGGCACAGGGCTGCAGTGGGCAGGGTGCAGGGGTGCGGTGGGAAGGGCGCAGGGCTGCAGCGGGGAACAGGGTTGCAGCAAGAAGGGCACAGGGCTGCAGCAGGCAGGGTGCAGGGGTGCAGTGGGAAGGGCTACAGTGGGCAGGGTGCAGTGGGAAGAGCACAGGGTAGGGCAAAATGGTGCAGCTCCCTCCCCCCCCCCCCAACCCCGTGACTGCTCACAGCCAGGACCCAGCTCCGGGAGCCCCAGGGGTGAGTATGAGACCAGGGTGCCACGTCAGAGGAGAGAGCATGTCATGTCCATTCCTAAAGCTGCACGCCACCAAGACTGGACACTTTCCTCCAAAAGCCCAACCCAGCACTTCAGTGTTTTCCCAGAGAAGTGCAGAGAGCAAGGCTCATACCCCAGTGCAGTTGTGGAAAGAGAAGAGCAGAAAAGCTATTTCCTCAGAGGTCTCGGGAGGTGGGGGGTCCACTTGATCCAGGAACCATGTCTGGGAGATGAGTGAACCACCCCGTTTGTGGCCCGCAGTCCTTGGTCGTCCCAAACTCAGGGAGATCACGTTGAAACACTTCCTGTGTGCAAATGGGGGAGAATTGTGTTGTGGGTTGGCATGTGGGAGCTGAGACAGGGAGGGCCTGTCAGGAGGGTCACAGAACCCCAGCAGGCATTCCTGGTGTCCTTCCTGCATGACTGATGGTGCTGGACTCGTCCTCTGCCTGGGCTGAGGCCTGTCCTAACTTGTCTGGCCTGCCTTTCCCTTCCTTGCAAGGAGACCGTTTTGAGCTAATATACCGGGCTTTCCAGGCCTGGTCGCTGGCCGCCCCGAGGAGCAGGGCTGGCCCTCAGCACACCTCCAGGACCTCCACTTTGCTCCTCAGGTTCTCAGGCCTCTGCCCAACTCCCAGCTCCTCATAGATCAAAGGCTGGAGCAGAAGTAGGGACACATAAGCACAGGAATGGACATGTTATTGCTCTCTTGTTATTTATTTGAGTAAATATTCATTTGAATGTGGCTATTATGCCTCCAAAATGTGTAATTGTTTTGTTATTGAGAACATTAGCACTTTGGAGGGAAAGGCTTTAAATACCTGATAAACAGCAAATATTGAATAATGTGAAGTATTTTAATGAGTTCCCATTGACTTCAGTTTGCAAATTATGGTAATGGAGTAAGGGAAGGGATTTCCTGTTAGTGACACCAGCAGGAACCATACCTGCTTGTGTCACAGGGTGGTGGGGCTGAGATGAGCAGCTGCTGCCCAAGTAGCATTTCGGTTAAATGCGTGGTTATCGCTTTGCTATTTAGGCCCCCACGGACTCTCTCCTCTGTCCAGCCACACTGCAGTGTCCACACTCCTGCTCCCAGCTCATCTCCTCTTGTCCACACTCTGACTTCCTCTGGACTGAGGCCACCAATCAGAGGCCAGTCGGACCCAATGCAAATGGGAGGGCATAGTGTGAAGGCCAGGGAAGGGGATGGTGTGAGGATCAGGAGGAGGAGGGGATGGTGTGAGGCGGAGGTGATACAGTGAGGACCAGGGAAGGGTACATGGTACATGTGTGGGTGGGAACGTGGCAGGAAGTGCTTCCCAGAGGCATGCCGTTGGGATTCCGCGTGGGTTTGGGCGAGGGTGGCTTGTGGAAGGCTGGTTCCTATCAGCAGGCATGGAGTGTGCTGGCCCCATCCTTGGGGTCTCTTTCTTGCTCCCCCAGCCCCAGATGCTCCTTTGGTCTCAGCTCTGCATTGTCCTCTGCTAATGCACCTTCTCTTCCCATCCACCTCCAAGCAGCACAGGGGAGCTCACTTCTGCCAAGAACTTCATGAGAGTTGGCTGAATTAGCCCAACTCGTGTATTTTATAATGGGGCCTGAAGGGATCTCACCATAAAAGTGGGGGTTTTAGGTGTTTCATGGTTGTTCGGCCCAAACCCCAGCCTCATTTGATAGCACGGCCACAGGCTGTCCAGCTGTGAGGAAGCAGAATCCAGGCAGACACTCGATGGTGACTTTACTCCATGCTGGAGAGGGTGTGCTCAGTTGGGGAGTAAAGGGTCACCTGTTCCTACTCTCCGTAGAGCTCATCACCGGATCCTCTCTAAGGACCGGCAGACACATAAATCGTGGATACATTTTGATAAAAAGTTCAGGGCTCTGCATGTGGGAAGTCCCAAGTTGGATCCTCCATGGACTCCAAAGCCAGATCACCCCTCAAAGCTTGGGGGATACATGCTCCACCCAACCCAGTGGCTATGTGTGTGAAGGAGCTTGAGCCACGCAATCTAGGAACCATGTCTGAGGCCCCAGGGAGTACCTGGAGGAGTTGCAGGGACCTTGTGGTCAGAGGGGCCCAGTGTGCCCAGGCGGTTGGGCTGGAGGGCAGGCGGGCGGCTCCATGAGGGAGAGAACACCATCTCCTTCCCTTTCCTTTTGTTACCTTCTGCACATACAACAAACCTCCCAGTTCCACTCCATACTTGGGGGTCACTCGCGGCTGTGCTCCGGAGACTACGTGGTGCCAGGGATCAATCGGAGCTGCCGCACACAAAGCATTTCTGTCTCCTGACCCAATACTGCCTTTCAAATATATCTTTCTTGACATACTAGACAAAGGAAGCCAAATTGTATTGTTGTTTCTACTTTGTAGAATCTTAGAGAATCCCTAACATCCAGAGTTCATTTATTTTTCTTTATCAATGAGGAAGCTGCCAGGCTTTTTAATTAACTTGTGCCAGAGACAGCTTCTTTCCCCCGCCAAAAAGCAAAAACAAAAACAACCTAATGAGAAATTTTGTTTTCAGCAGCTGAAGCTGTCAAGCTGAGTCTAACTTCAGTCCTGCTGTTGAATCTGAACTTCAGTGCGGGCCGTGCATTCCCCATTGCTGATTTTCCCGAGAGGTGCTGGGTGGGAGCAGTCAGGGGTGCTTTTCCTGCTGTGCCATAGCTCTGCTTGGGGGATTGAGAGGGACCCCAGGCATTATCCTCCAGGCCCCCGGAGCACTGAAGGAGAAAGCATGACCTCTACCTGGGCAGGCAGGCAGGGCAGATGCTGGGCTTTGGGCTGGAAGGCCTGACTAAGGGTGTCCTACCATGCAGAGTTAGCAACTCAGTGAGGCACTCAGTAGTCAGTACCGGTGCCACCATGTGGAGTGCAGCTGGGCTCCTCTGTCGGGCTGGGGGTGCAGACAGGAAAGCCTGGGAGTAGCGGGGAGTGGGATGCCCATTCTCCAGGAACTTGTGCCTGTGTCATGCCTGGTCTCTGCAGGAGGCACTATCCCGACTGTTCTCTTGCAGACGGGTGGGTGCCCACTCTCCTGGGCCCTAGTCAGGGGGTGTATGGGGGGGGAGCACATCCAGCCGTTGCTTTGTATTTGGCGCACCTGGGACATATGAGGGTGGCCCGGAGGGGTCCACTGTGAGATCTTGTCTCCCATAGTCCTGCCCCTGGTCTGTGTGAAACGGTCCATGGTAGCTGTGTCCCTGCATGGGACGCGCACAGACCGGCCCTGTGGTCAAGTCCACTTGCAGCCAGTGACCAGAGCTAGCCTGGAAAGGAATCTGCATGTACCTGAGGCACCTCTGCCACTGCCCAGTCTCTGGCTCAGCTCCTGGGGCCCAGCCTTGCTCTGCACCTCTGGCTCCTCACCCCAAAGCTGGGCTGTGCAGGCTCCCCGCAGTTCAGAAATCAGCATGACAAAACTGGCCAGAGCTCAGAGGCTTTTCTGTGATTATGAACTTCTGACAAGCAAGGCTATCTGGAGCGGTACCTTTACAATGCAAATAGGCCCCCAGGTCCCGTAGCAAGATGAAGCCTTTTCAATGCAAAATGATCCTTGTACATATCTTTGTTTGAATAACAATTGAATCACAGCACATTATTTTATGGATTTTTTCCCCTCACTTAGATCTTACTGCATCTGGAAAATACATCCTTTTTATTTCGATTTGGAGGCCACACCTGGCAGTGCTCAGGGAGGCCATTCCCAACTCTGTTCTTCGGGGCTGCCTTTGGCAGTTCTCAAGGCATCCTGAGATGCCTGGTTCCCTCTAGGAAGCTCTGCCCCACCCTTCGACCCATCTCCCTGTCCCTTCTCATCCCTTCTCCTCGTTTTTTTTCAGTGATGGTTTTGTGCTTCGTTTTACAAAGGTGCTACAGACTGTTTGGTTTTCTGCTCTTTAACACTATATGTATTTTAATCTGGGCTGCAGACTTGTGCTTGTCTAATGATTTCCACAGGGAATTTCCGAGAAGATGAATTTCAGCCAAAGGTCACAGCGATTTTTAAGGCTCCCAGGGTGAAAAGACTCAATGCTCCGTACCTCAGAGGCAAGGCCTTTTCTGGCAAGCCCATGGGGCCATCCACGATGGCGGAGGGTGGGCATCCATGGAGCTGCCGACCTCTGCTCCTGTATGGCATGGCTGGCCCTCGCTCTTCGTGCTGACCTTTGGGTGGGAGATCTCCTGCCTGCCCCGTCCCCTCTCACTAACGCTTTTCCCTTGCTCCCCTCTAGGATGGATGTGTGAGCTGATGGATGTGACCATGATGTGCTGCGTGGGCATGCGGCCGACCCACTCCTGCCTCATCCTCCTGCTCCTCTGGCTCCTGAGCATTGTGTCCCAGGGACTGGCCGGGGCCACTGGGCCCCAGGGCTTCCGCTTCACACACCCCACCTACAACGCCACCGTCTACGAGAACTCAGCCGCCCGCACCTACCTCCGCAGCCAGAGCCGAATGGGCATCACCCTGGTGGATACCTCCTGGGACGTCAAGTACAGGATCGTGTCTGGGGACGAGGAGGGCTTCTTCAAAGCTGAAGAGGTCGTCATCGCGGACTTCTGCTTCCTCCGCATCCGGACCAAGGGCGGCAACACAGCCATCCTGAACCGGGAGATCCAGGACCACTACTCGTTGGTGGTAAAGGGTACTGTCCGGGGGGAGGACCTGGAGGCCTGGACCACAGTCAGCGTTCAGGTGCTGGACATGAACGACCTGCGGCCACTCTTCTCGCCCACCACTTACTCGGTCACCGTGGCCGAGAGCACACCCCTGCGGACCAGCGTGGCCCAGGTGACGGCCACAGACGCCGATGTCGGCTCCAACGGGCAGTTCTACTACTACTTCAAGGGCCGGGTGGATCTCTTCTCCGTGCACCCCACCAGTGGGGTCGTGGCCCTGAGCGGGCGGCTCAACTATGACGAGAAGAGCCGCTATGACCTGGAAGTCCTGGCTGTGGACCGCGGCATGAAGCTCTACGGGAACAACGGGGTGAGCAGCACGGCCCGGCTCTATGTACATGTGGAACGCCTCAACAGCCATGCACCCACACTGCACGTGGTGGCACACACGCCCTCCGCGCCGGGCCCAGAGCCCACCTACGCCGTGGTGACCGTGGATGACCCTGATGAGGGCGCCAACGGCGAGGTGGACTCGGTGGCCATTGTGGCTGGTGACCCCTCAGGTCAGTTCTTCCTGGCCAGGGAGGGCCGGTGGGGTGGTGAGTACCGGATCAAGGAGAGACGGCGGGTGGACTGGGAGAGCGTTCCCTATGGCTACAACCTCACTCTGCAGGCCAAGGACAGGGGCTCACCACAGAGGTTCTCCGCTGCCAAGGTGGTACACATCGCCAGCCCCCAGCGAGACGTGAGCCCGGCCCGATTCCAGAAGGACAGCTACGAGGTGAGCATCAGCGAGTTCTCCCCGCCTGGCACACTGGTGGCACTTACGAGGTTGGACCCTGAGCCACGGGGGGTGGAATACCGGCTCGCTCCCGGGGAGGACGCCTGGTTCTTCAGGATCAACCCCCGGTCAGGGCTGATTGTCACCGCACGGCCGCTAAATGCGGCCGGAAAAGAGGTGTTCACGCTGGCTGTGACAGCCCAGGCTGGGGAGCTGCGGGCCCCAGTGACTGTGCGCATCGAGGATGCCAACGACCACACACCTGAGTTCCAGCAGCCACTGTACGAGGCGCATGTGAACGAGAGCGTGCCCGTGGGCACGGCTGTGCTGGCGGTGGCAGCGGCTGACAAGGACCGCGGCGAGAACGGCTACATCACCTACAGCATCGCCAGCCTGAAGGCCCTGCCCTTCGCCATCAATCAGTTCACGGGGCTTATCAGCACCACGGAGGAGCTGGACTTCGAGTCCTCCCCGGAGACCTACCGGTTCGTTGTCCGCGCCTCTGACTGGGGCTCACCCTACCGTCACGAGAGTGAAGTCAATGTCACCGTGCGCCTGGGCAACCTCAACGACAACCGCCCCCTCTTTGAGCAGGCGGCCTGCCAGGGCACGCTGCCCCCTGACTTCCCCGTGGGCACCCACATTGCTGCTGTGTCTGCCATCGACATCGACGAGCTGGCGCTGGTCAAATACAAGATCATCTCGGGTAACGAGCAGGGCTTCTTCTCCCTGGACCCCGACTCAGGCGTGCTGCAGCTGAGGAAGCCACTGACCGCCAGCAGCCCCAGAAATGCGCACTTTGCCCTGTGGGTCACGGCCAGCGATGGGGAGAACCTGGCAGAGCCCATGTCTGTGAACATCTCGGTTGTCCATGGCCAAACACCCTCCAGGAGTTTCAGCTGCCAAGAGACCCGCGTGGCCCAGAAGCTGGCCGAGAAGCTGCTGCTCAAGGCGCGGGCGGATGTCAGGCTGGCACCTGAGGATGGCTTCCTGGACTTCTACTCGGCCAATCGCCAGGGCCCTCGGTTTGACAAGGCCTTTCCCTCGGACGTGGCGGTGAGAGAGGACCTGCCGGTGGGCGCAGACATCCTGAAGATCGGGGCCTCGGACCCCGATGCAGGCTTCAATGGCAAAGTGCTGTACACCATTGCAGATGGCAACTCGGACAGCTGCTTCGCCATCGGCATGGAGACGGGGCAGCTGCAGGTGCTGCTGCCGCTGGACCGGGAGCGCACTGACCGCTATGTACTCAACATTACCATCTACGACCTGGGCAACCCACAGAGATCCTCCTGGCGACTGCTGACCATCAATGTGGAGGACGCCAACGACAACAGCCCCATCTTCCTGCAGGACACATACTCAGTCAGCATCCCTGAGAGCACTGGCATCGGCACGGACATCATCCAGGTGGAGGCCCGGGACCGGGACCTGGGTGCCAACGGGGAGGTGGTGTATGCAGTGCTGACTGACTCCCGGCACTTCTCCATCAACAGCTCCACTGGTGTCGTCTCTGTTGCCGACCAGCTGGACCGGGAAACCAGAGCCAACTACTCGCTGAAGATTGAGGCCCGGGACCAGGCGGCCATGGGCCAGCAGCTGGCCTCGGTGGTGACGCTGTGGGTGATCCTGGAGGATGTGAATGACTGTGCCCCGGCCTTCGTTCCCAGCAGCTATGGCGTCAGGGTGCTGGAAGACCTGCCCGTGGGCGCGGTCATCGCCTGGCTGGACACTCAGGACCCTGACCTGGGGCTGGGCGGCCAGGTGCGCTACTCACTGGTCAGTGACCACAATGGCCGCTTCGAGATCGACCGGGCCAGCGGGGCGCTGCGCCTGAGCCGTGAGCTCGATTTTGAGAAGCAGCAGTTTTACAACCTCACCGTGCGCGCCAAGGACAAGGGCCGGCCCGTCTCGCTGTCCTCGCTGTCCTTCGTGGAGGTGGAGGTGGTGGACGTCAATGAGAACTTGCACACGCCTTACTTCCCCGACTTCGCTGCTGTGGGTGCCGTGCGTGAGGATGCGCGCGTGGGCACCAGTGTGCTGCAGGTGGTGGCCCGCGATGAGGACCCCGGGAGGGACGGCGAGGTCCAGTACTCCATCCGTGACGGCAGTGGCCTGGGCCGCTTCACCATCGATGACGAGAGCGGTGAGTGTGACATCCACGCTGGCCCAGCCTCTGCGCTTCTCCTCGTGGGAAAGGGAAGGGGTGCACTGCGCCGAGGACTGGGGGCCGGACTGGGGGCCAGCAAGGGCAGCGGGTGAGGGCGGGAAAAGTGCTTCCGAGACAGGTCTGTGTGAGGGGTGAGGGGCACCCAAGGCGAGGGTTTTCGGGGCCGACCCAAGGCAGAGGATCTCAGGGCCCACCCAAGGTGAGGGTCAATGAGGGGCAGCTGATGGCTGAGAATCTCAGGGATAGGTGATGGTCATGGATTCAGGGGCAGGTGATGGCCATGGAATTTGGGGGTGCAGTAAAGACTGTGAACCTCAGGGCAGGTGGGAGCTGTGCTTCCGTGTCAAGCCTGGTTCGTGGGTTTGCCGTCTGTTTTCCTTGCTGTGAGCTGTTCTGGGCTCTGGTTTGAATCCTGGGTGCTCGTGGCCAGCCCCAGCTATGAAGCAGCTTTATGTGGGAATGAGAATGGAGCTGTTGGATAGAGCCTGACTGGGTTGCCCCACTGTGTCACACAGGATCTGGGGCCCTGGAGATGGGATTGTGCCATGCAGATGCCATGCTGGGGGATGCTGGGCAGACAGGGGGTGTGCAGAGCAGACTGGCCATGGCTGGAATCTTGCAGCCATCTAAAGAGGCTGGCGAGATCCTCGTGTCACTCCCCCCCCCCCATGGCCCCTGGCCCTGTGCCCATGTCCCTGCTTTCTGGAGCCTGTGTTGTTTCTTGTCCCAAGGGCTGTCTTCACAGGACTAGCCCTGCCCCCGTGGGGCTGGGCATGGCTGGCCTGGAAGCATGACCATGTCCCGACCTCACATTTACACACGATGACTCAGGGTGCTGTTTGTCCTCAGTCCGGCTGTATCTCTTCTCCCCTTTGTGATGGCATTAACCAGGGCACTTATCCTGTCACACCCTGCTGGGCACTCACACCGGGCTGTGGTGCTCTTCCGGCTGTGCTCACTCTCTAGGCTCTGAGGCTGTGGGGCTCTCATGGCAGTGCTCACACACTGGGCTCTGAGGCTGTGGTGCTCTCACATGCCTCTCTGTTCTTTGTTCTCAGTTGTCCACAGGTCCCATGAGAAAGTGCCATGTCAGCCCCCTCCCAGGGTTGGCTCCCCTTGCTTTGGGCTCCATCTGGGTTCTTGTGGTCCAGTGCAACTCGTGCATGTGCATGTGTGCGTGCATGTGTGTGTGCCTGTGCACACGTGTGTATGTTTATGCATGTGCTTCCCTGCGCCTTGTCTCCTCTTAGCAGCCCTGACTCTCAGCTCGCACATGTGTGTGTATGTGTGTACGCACCTGTGTGCATGTGTGTGTGCTTCCCTGTGCCTTGCCCCCTCTCAGCAGCTCCGACTCCGACTCTCAGCTTGCACATGTGTGTGCTTGTGCATGCATGTGTGTGCGTGCACATGTGCATGTGTGTGCATGTGCTTCCTGTGCCTCTCAGCAGCGTCGACTCTCAGCTCGCATATGTGTGTGCTTGTGCATGCATGCATGTGTGTGTGTACACTGTGTGTGTGTGTGCCTGTGTGTGCGTGTGCTTCCTGTGCCTCGCCCCTTCTCAGCAGCTCTGACCCTCAGGCCTGTGCTGGCAGAGTCAGGAGGGGACAGTGTTACTGGCACTCAGAGTCTTTCTGCTTCTTGCAGAAAGCGTCAGCCTGGCCCGGAGGTATCTGTGGTTGGGGAGGGGGCGCTTCTCAGGGGAGCGTGACTTCCACATCACGTCATGAGACAGCAGAGGCCCAGAAAGCCTGTTCTGGCTGGTGGAGGCTGTTAATCTCCACTCCGTCCCCAGACGACACTGCCCCCCTCTCCCTGACACTTTGAAGAGGAAGACAGATGTGACTTGGCGACTCAGGTGTGAATCATGACGATTCCAGATGGAAGGGCCACTCCATCCTCCCTGTTTCCAGACGGTAGGTTTGCTCCCCCAGTTCAGGGGAACCAGGACCAGCATGGGGTCAGGGAGTGCAGAGGGCGCCTACCCCTAACCTCAGTGCTGTTCCTTAAGGTCGTCATCATGGGAGAGAGGAGTTATGGTGCCGAGATGCCTGGGCCCATCCCGGCATGAGGGGCAACCCTGGCCTCATGTCCTGTGAGCCAAGTGGAGGGAGAGAAGAAACTTCTGGAAAATGGGGAGCAGCCTGTGTTCAGGGCTGGTGCTTTCTGCTTATCTTCTCTTGGCTGTTGGCATCTGGCTGGAGGAGGATCTCATGTCTGTGCCCACACCAGGGGTCTGGGAGGGGCCCTGTCTGCTGCCTGCAGCACAGTCACGCAGTGGCCCAGAAGAGCAGGTCCTGATGCGGGTGCTGCTGGCCTGGCTGGAGGGTGGCCAGGTGGGCTCTGCTCAAATCCTTGGGGACCACAGCCATGCACTGAGACTAGAGTACCCCCATGCAGCGTTGACTGTGGACCAAGCACACAGTCACATGGAACATAGGCAGGCGTCCCCACCACGTGAATCTGAGCTGGCCTCTCTGCTCAGCTCAGATCACTGAGGGTCCGCAGAGGCGCTGCACCCGCACTGCCTCTTCTCTGTGCAGATGTTGGTGTGCTCGATGAAGGGTGCTTTGATGTATCATTATGTTCAGAGGAACCGTGGGGTTTGATAAATATTTATGCGCTACCACTGATTCACTGCTTAGTGAAGGGGTGAAACGTGGAACATGGAAATGAGAATGGAAATGGGGCACTGCCTGTCTTTGTAGCAGGCCAGTCTTCGAGCAAGCGCGTCTTCCTGACACATGTGCAGGATTCGGTTCCGCTTATAGTAACTGCTGGGCCTGTTGAATGAATCATTGGCTCTCACAGGGATCTCTAAAGGTCTCCCGGGACCTTGGAGGATTTAGTGACGCCCCGTGCTGTGCTGTGTTTAGATTCTCGGGTTTCCATCCAGCCTCGTTAATATTCCAGAGGCCTCCTTGCAAGCTCACAATGCAGGTGAGGATAGGACCGTGGAATAGCACCGACACTGGGAAAAACGTGGGAGAAACTTGAGGCCCATCGACACGCCTGAGCGTCGGCCTTCACCCGGCTGGGAACACTGGAGGTGCACAGATGGGTCAGCTGGGACCCAGCAGAAGTGACAGAAACATCTGTGATGGTGAACCTGTAAGTGATACAGTGAGGCCTGAGTCATCCATGCCTGTGTCTGGGGAGACCCCCTGCATCCACCTCAACAGGGACAGATGGTTTTTACAGTTCCAACTGAAGGCAGGACAGAAGAGACATGCGCGAGCATCACAGTGAGACAGGCCTGAGTGTCACAGAGAGGCAGGCCTGAGTGTTGCAGTGAGACCGGCCTGAGTGTCACAGGGGTCAGGCCTGAGTGTTGCAGTGAATAGGGGACATACTCCATATCTCTCCCCCTAGCCATGTGCACCCTATGTTGGATCTCAGCATCTTAACAGCTGCCAGTCTGCGCCGTGGGGTCGTGTGGCAGCAGCACTGAGTTGCCCTTGTTCTGTCTGTGGCAGGGTCCCTCTGCCCAGCACTGCCAACTCCTGCAGGAAGCTCAGAGGCAGGAAGGGGGAACTCAGGGAACTGAGCCCATCACCAGCGTCAGAAAGCGAGACTGCATTATACTCCCTGAGCTCACGTCAAGGCATAGCCGGTTGGATTAGGCAGCTGTAGCCCTGCCCCGGGGACATCCGAGGACACCCCGGTTCTATCCCCCAGGGCTGCTCACCTTGGAGGCTTCCCTCAGCATTCCACTCCAGCCTGGTGTGGGCCCCCATGCAGACACTCACTCCAGACCGTCTCTCTCACTGCCTCTTGCCCTGTTATCTACCAGAGTCCTTCATGGCTCGGGCAGAGCTGCTGCTACTGTGTGTACACATCTGGTCGGACCCAGGGTGCCTCCCCGAAGCTGCCGGAAGCATGAGCCCCCAGGGGACCCCCGGGAACCCCGTGTGGAACGCAGGGCAGCTTGGGAACCCCCACACCCAGTCTGAACCAGAGGGCTGGGTCTGCCAAGAACTTGCTACAAACATGACCTCATCAGATGCCTCTGGGCGCTGCAAGGGCTCCTTAGAATGAGGCCCGTTCAGATAAGGGGGGCGGGTGGGGGGGCGCGCAGAGTGAGTTTGGCGGCCAGGGGCAGGCGTGGAGCAGGCTAGCAACTTGGCACCCTGAAGCTATTTGCAGTTATTGGAACTTTCTGTGCCCAGCGGACACTTTGTTCTCTTCTTGGCCACATTGTTTTGAACTTTCCCCGGATTCTCAGTTAAATCGGGGACATTTTGAAACTTTGTCTACTTCAAGATGTAGTCTTGGAATTTTGAATATGACTTTTTTTTTTTTTTTGCAAGAGCTTCTTATTGCGAAAGCCTTCATTCCTTGGCTTGTCCAGGCGGCCGGTTTGTCCAGTGCTTTTCTGCCCCGCTGTCAGCGCCAGGCTGGTGGCGGGGGAATTTTAAGAAGCCGTTCTGTCATCCCAGTGCCATTCCCGGGCTGCGCCTCCTGTTTCTATGGCGATTGTTTCTGGGAGACCGTCTCCCAGGGAGCTCCTCCAAGGCTGGGCACTGGGCTCCTGCGTACTGGGCTGGACTCACGGGCCCCCAGTCACCCCTTCTTACCTGCATGAGAACAGCAGCTCACATCTCCCCCCAGGGCTCCCTCTGCGAAGGGGCCTGGGCTCAGGGCTTGGATGCAGTGCCCCCCGCTGGGCTTACAGAGCCACCCGCAGCAGGGAGAGCCCTCATGTGTCCCTCCAGGCACCCCCAGTCCCTTCTCAGGGTCAGCCATGGGACCTACTCCTCCACAGGGCAGACTCAGTGCTTCTGTCTCTGGGGACAGGCCGAGGCCATCAGACCAAGGGACTGCTCTCCCCGCCCTGAGTGATGTATGCAGAGCCCGCGCTTGAGTCTCCCTGACATGGAATCGGTGGTCTGAGGGAGCCCCCTGAGAGGATCGGAGACAAGGGTGTCGGAAGCTGGAAGGAGCAGTGGGTCTGTGCGTCTGCTTGGGCCTAGCCTGT